AAAGTGTCTTCTGACCTCACTTGTTCTTTTCCTGGGTAACTCCAGCTACCCTGGTGTTGCCCACCTTAGGTTCCCACATTGACTGTAGCTGGGGCTTCCTGACTGGCCTCTCTGCATTCACTCCTATTCCCCACCAATCCATTCACCACCCAGTAGTGACACCAAACTTTCTGGAAACATGTTGGCTCTTGGAACATCCCCACTTGAACTTCATTAATGGATTCCCCCTCTTGAAACTAAGAATGAAACCCAAACTCCTTACGTAGCCCACAGGGCTCATGCGTTATGTGGCCTCCCAGTTCCTCTCAAGCCACCCTTCCTTGCTGTGCCACACTAGCTTTTTTGTTCAGAAAGTCCACTTAGCACACCCTATTTTTTTTTTTTTTTTTTTGAGATGGAGTCTCGCTGTGTCACCCAGGCTGGAGTGCAGTAGTGTGATCTCATCTCACTGCAAGCTCCACCTTTCCAAGTGATTCTCATACATCAGCCTCCCAAGTAGCTGGGATTACAGGTGCATGCCACCACGCCTGGGTAATTTTTGTATTTTTAGCAGAGACGGAGTTTCACCATGTTGGTCAGGCTGGTTTCGAACTCCTGACCTCAAGGGATCTGTGTTACTCGGCCTCCCAAAGTGCTGGGATTACAGGTGTGAGCCACCATGCCCAGCCTTCTCTTTCTATTAATAGATTTTTTCCAGAGTCCTCTCTTTACCACCTTTCTAAAGGACGTTGCAGTGTGTTGCTATCAATATATTATATTTGATTAATATTCATCTACACACACTACATATACACACACTTAGATACATGCCCAGGGATAAATTTCAAGAGCTCAGGTACCATCTATTCCTTGTTTACACGTTGTTTCCCTCGGTATCTGGCACACAGCAGGTGATCCTATGTATTTATTGGGTTAAGTGAATAAATCTATTGCAGGTAGGGCAGCCCACTTAGGAGGGCCTGGGCTGGATGTTATATCATTGGTGTACTATTTTTCCATTTTTCCATGTTCTTAGTGTGCACAGGGTTTCGTTAACAGACTTAAAAGTATACCTTTAACTACAGCTACTTGTCTTTGGACTAGTGTCTCACCTAGGAAAATGAGGTGAAATAAAATCGCATTAAATGCAAATCTGATCCTGTGTCATAAATAGTTCAGAAGTGAACATATTCTCATGTCCCTAGTCTTCTAGGAAGTGATCCAGACTACTGAAAATGCATACAAGTTTTCTTTAATTTGGGAGATATATAAACATGGTTTTTTTCCTGGACAATTCTGGGCTCTAACCAGATAAAGGACAACCTCATAGCCGATCAGCATGCTCACAGAAAATTAAAAAAAAAAAAACTTCAGACTCCCCCCACACCCACAGCATAGTTTTAAAAAATCCAGAGTGCCAACAAGATACTAAATTACTGAATGTATCTTCAAATTAATGAGTTTTCATAATTGAACTTGAGAAGGAACATAGAGTGAGGTTAAGTCTTCGCAGGGAGAACATCCAGAAAGCTTCCAGATTATTGTGTATTTAGCCCATTAGTGTGCCATTTATATATGTCAGTTAGAGATAGTTGAGTGGTGGCACAGTTTTTCGAGCACATTCTCAGGATGCTCCTTTACTTTTATTTTCTAATTTGAGGTATAAAGTTCAGATGGCATTTAAAAGAGACTCAGAGGTGCAGTTTGACCAAGAGGCAGTTTTGCAAACTCATTCCAGATTGTGTCTGTCATTTGGTGTTAAATTGGACCTAAATGAGTCATTTATTGGGGAGGTGAGAAAGGGTGTTATAATTTGAAAAATGGCCCAAGTGTTTCCAGTAGACTTCATTTGCACTCTCTGTTTCTGGTGGAACCATCTCTTCAGTTAGACGTAAGAGATCTAGGTCTTCCATGTCAGGGATTTGTTATACTGGGACAGACATGAGAGGGTTTCAAAAACCCACGATGTAACATGCTGAATCTCTGCACACGCATGTACAGGTATGTATGTAAAAGCACATACGCATTTTCTCTGGGATACAGGTCCAATACTTTTATCAGACTTTCTCAGTGGGTCAGGGATGCCAGAAGGATATTTCTCTCCAGTTCAGGAAGAGGGATCAAGTGGAAAAGGTTTGAGTTAGTCTTCAGGGGGTAATGGCCCAAGAAGACAATGGAACAGAAACTGCAAATAACCCTACAAAAGAAGCAGCAGCACAAGGCTGTTTCCTGCAGATAATCCTGCAGTGTGCACACCTTTGTGAAGAGTAGTTTCCACACGAGGAGGAGACCAGAGCTTCCAGGGTCAGAATTTAGTGCTCATAGGCCGGCCCTGCAATCAATCTGGCATCTACTAATTTGAGGAACCAAAAGAGAGTGGTCCTTTGAAGGGAGGCATGCCAGTCTCAGGTAAATGCAGAGGTCTTTTATTGAGTTTTTTGCTTTTACATTTAAAATATCTTCCCCCTTCAGAGGTGAACAAAAGTAAAACATTACTAAAATGTAAAAAAATAGGAAGTAGCAGTTCCCATTAATTCTATTTACCAAGGTTCATTTTGAAATGAAAATGACTTTAAATTTCGTCTTGATTATAAAAAGTATTCTCTGTGCGGGCGCGGTGGCTCACGCTTGTAATCCCAGCACTTTGGGAGGCCGAGACGGGCGGATCACAAGGTCAAGAGATCGAGACCATCCTGGCAAACATGGTGAAACCCCATCTCTACTAAAAATACAAAAAAAATTAGCCGGGCGTGGTGGCGGACGCCTGTAGTCCCAGCTTCTGGGGAGGCTGAGGCAGGAGAATAGCGTGAACCCGGGAGGCGGAGCTTGCAGTGAGCCGAGATCGCGCCACTGCACTTCAGCCTGGGCAACAGAGCGAGACTCCATCTCCAAAAAAAAATAAAAAATAAAATAAAAATAAAAAAGGTAGGTAATATGGGAAAGTATAATGATAAGAGGGAAAAACTCCACCCGTAATCCCATTTTCTCTATGCATTGTTATGTATGTTCACACAAAAAATGGGCCGATGCTATACATGGTTGTTTATAATCAAGACCCTTGTAAAGACCATATTGAAGAGGGGAAAAAAAAAAACAAAAACAAAAAAAACAACATTCCCATGTGCATGCAGAAGAAAATGGATATGGTATCCATCATTTACATTTTTTGACTCTGGCCCTGGGAGCTGAATTCACTGTTGGAGGAGAAACTGTTGAAGTTGGCAGAGCCGGCTTCTATCAACTCTTTGGAGTGGCAACCAAATCTGAGCTGAGCACTTGATCCTCAGAAGAGAAAAACGGTGACATGGGGTTATGATGGTGTTTGTTCCCACCCAAACATCAGCGTGTTTTCCTGGCATCTGCACCAGTGTGTTTTTCCCCTTGAATTGGAGTGAATTAAGCCTCTCATACAGTTTTCCCAAGACCTTCAGAGTAGCTTAGAATATGGTCCTCAAATTTTTCCCACAAGCATATCAAGTGTAATTTTAAATGGTCTATCTTGCCTTCATTAAATACATGTCCATTTGTTCTCAATTTTGAATCCTTGCCAATATCTGCATTCAAATCTGTAATAGTCAAGAGCAAATGAAGTTTTTGTCCTCCTTGGGCTTTCCTCAGATACGTGTTTCAAAGCAAGGACTGGAAGTAGAGGAAATACAGGGACCTGAGAATTAAGTGAAAGGACCTTGCAAATTTCCAGCAGAATTCCAGGGGAATGAAAGATGAAGGATCCCTGGGGAGACAGCAAGGAAAAATGGTCTTGATAGGATTGATCGGAACACCCGGTGGAAGATATGGGCTCTGTAAAGAACTTCAGGGATCTAGAATGCTCAAGGTCAAAGCTCTTACAAAGTACTTTAAAACCATGAGCTCTACAGGTTCTATAAGAGTGAAGGGAGAGCCCCTTCCTGCCCTCAACCCCATACAGTGCTTTAAATCAGATAAGTATAGTGACGTGATGTCTATGGTGTATGAGGCATGACTGCAGGATTTTTTTGTTTTGAATAGGGAATGCTAAACCCCTGAGATTACCGCAGTCTTTTATTGGAGAAAATAAGAGCTACAGTTATTTCCTGTTCTACCTACTATTTTCCTTTCCATTAGGTCTTACTCTCCATTCATTAGCCATTCTAACAGAGCATTTCATAAAATGAGAAGGATCTTTGCTGAGCAGATTTTAATAAACAAGGACTTGGTTATTCAATTGAAATTTAAATGGAACTCTTCCCCTTTGAATATTATAATACTTGAACTTTGGAGAAGTTGCAAATCTAAGAAGGCTGACCCCTGGAGGTCAACTCATATACAAAGTTTGATCATGGTTTTCAACCAACAGTACTATCGGCAGTTTAAGAGGTGAAGTGTAATGCTTGCAAAATTGATTAGCCAAGAATTATGGAAGTTCTTCATATATTAGTAATTTATACACATAGAAATACCAGTAAACATATAATGCTAGGCATGATTTTTGAAAGATCTGACCTCTGTTTTTTTGTTTTTTTGTTTAACAGTCGAAAAGAATGGATAGCAAACTCTTAGAGAGGAGTTGGGTATTTCATTATTAAAAGATACAAGACATGGAGTCCTGAGGAGCATCTTTAGTCCTGATTATATTTCTTCTGGATATTATAGCGTTATCGTAAACCACTCATGGTATTTGGTGTCACATATTTTTGTGAAAATGAGGATGTTAAAACTGATCCATCTTGCAATAAACGAGCATAGCATCTTAGCTGAGAACCTGTGATGAATATTGGATTTGTTTTCCGCTATAACCCAGAGAACAGTATGGGTTATGATTATGTCTTTCTATCTGGCCCACCCCTCTGTTTGTCTGCCACTCACCTAGGGATTTATCTGCATTCAGCATTAGCTGGAGAAAGGTGGGAGCCAAAATACTGTTGATATACTTATGTATGTGTATGCAGAAGTGCTAAACAAAGACAAGCTGGTGGAAAACACCCACTCAGAGAACCAATAATGATCTTTTCTTCTTGCCCCTCTCACTTGCTTACTTTCAGCAACCACTGGAAAGGAAAGACAGCCAGAATAGTTCTCAGCACAGTGTTTCCAGCCACCGGAGCCTGCACACAGCATCCCCAAGCCACAGCACACAGGTGCTCCCCGAGTTCCCACCTGCAGAAGCCCAAGCTCCGGATCAAACTGACAGCTCTGGCCAGAAAAAACCAGATCCTTTTAAAATCTGGGCCCAGTCCAGGAGCATGTATGAAAACCGACGTGAGTAGCATCCTGGCCTCTGTCTTACCCTGACCCCTCCACAGGGCTCTACCTTTCTTTTGAAGGTTAGTGAAAATAGAGGAGTTGCAGTATGTAAACCGGATAAAGTGAAATCCACAAGAGGCGAAAGTATGGCCAAGGGAGTGGACTCTGCTGGCTATCCATGGAGACCTCACTATGCCTTCAGTCTGGGGAGAGGGTAGAAGTGGATGGTTATCAAATAAATGCCCTGGGTGAAAATGGTTTTTTTTTTCCTCCCTTCAGTTAAAAGGCATGGTAGATAAGAGCTGCTGTCTCATTAATTCCCTGAGTGGAGATTGTGATGTGCTCTGAGCACAAATCCAATATGCAGTAGAACTTAAATATGATTGACTGGGATTGTAGGGCTAATGAGAAGAAATTAAATGCTTTTTAAGTGGTCTCTTGATTTTCAAAAATACTGGTAATTTTTTTTAACCATTATAATCTCTCTAAACATTTCCCACAAAAAGGAAAAAACAATAGCAGTGAGTGGTTGTGCTTTAATTACTTATCCAGTGCTTTACCTTTTCTAGAAATACAAGCTAGTGATAGTATACTTTGTAACTTCTTGGCTCATATAAACATAATATCACTCTCATGTTTAATGTCTTACTTTTTATTATGAAATGATTTCCAAAAACTATTCGCCATAAATAATATTCATTTATCTTACCAATGGAAGTTCCTAAAATGCCTTAATTTTAGGCGATGCAAACTGCTTGTTGTTGTTGTTGTTGTTGTTGTTGTTCTTGGGTTGCTGTTTTCTGATGTTTTCTTATGAGTATAATTGGTCAGGGTGAGGCAGCTATGAAGGACAGATACCTCATTTTCTCTTTTTGGTATGGGGTAGGGGAGAGGTGTTGTGACGGTGGAGATTCGGTTTGTTGAAGGGTCTGAGAGAAGCTGGAAGAGTGAAGAGTGAAGAGTGCTCATCCTCCCCTCAGCACAGGTTTCATTTCTAGCTGCAACTGTGGTCACTGCTCAGCAGGGACCTCGAGAGTCGTGGCAGAGAGGTTGTGTGAGGTGTGGGGCCCTGGCCTCCTGTCCACCACACAGACTTGGCTGTGCTGTGCTTCCTTTGCCGGCTGAAGTGTATGCTGAAAGTCAACTTCTCTGTGACCAAGCAAAATGGGGCAGTGAGGCCAGCATCCTTGTCTGAGGAGGAAGGTTGGTCAGTCCACTGAGTGATACTCAGCAGTTTGAGGGCAGAGGTGAGCCTGGAGTCTTGCTGGTTATCAAATGTTAGGAGTTGCTCAGGGCTCTATCCTTTTCCTCCTCAAGGGAGAAATATTACTGCCTTCTTACTACCACAATGCATGGAATTAAATAGGCTGTTTTGGCTACAAGTTCACTCTGCTGACAAAAAGCCCACTGATTTGAGCAGGGACTTATTTTAGTCGCTGGACTAGAAAGACACCCCTAAAGTACCCCCGAGGCCTGACTAAAGGAAATGAAGTTCCATTTGGAATGACCTCATATGCAGTGGATGCTAACCAGGAACCAGATTCTGTCCTCATTGTGTCTCCTCACTCATTGTAGTGATTTCACTGAAGTAAACCGTTTAAGAGATGTTTGTAAAGAGGAGCGTTTTCACATTCCCTCCACATTTCTCTCTAAGCATGTGGCTCGTCCAATCAATGGCCCGACTTCAGTTAATGTTGAGATATTGCTTTATTGACCGAGCTCCTGCTTTCCTCAATACAGTACACATTTATGATTGAGTTTTCCTGTATGAATCTTTTCATGATAAAATGAATTGCATTCTGAAGGGCTGGCAGGGGCATCATGGGTTGACAGGATAATTCTAAAACATCCGTTTAATAGAAGGCTTTTACTCAAATGCCATTTTTACCCTGGTGGTGGCAAATTTTCTTAAGAATTTGACCTAATCAAATGTTTCTAAAAAAGTTTTCACCAGGAAAAAAAAGTAAGAAAAAATATGTAATGTGGCCATAGCCAGCTGCTATAAGTACTGAAATTGCTCAGGTGGCAGCCGGACTGAAATATTTGGGGCCAGGCATCGTGACTTACTCATGTAATCCCAGCACTTTGGGAGGCCTAGGCGGGCGGATCATGAAGTCAGGAGTTGGAGACCAGCCTGGCCAATATGGTGATACCCCATCTCTACTAAAAAATACAAAAATTAGCCAGGTGTGGTGGCGTGTGCCTATAGTCCCAGCTACTCAAGAGGCTGAGGCAGGAGAATCACTGGAACCTGGGAGGCGGAGCTTGCAGTGAGCCAGGATCATGCCACTGCACTCCAGCCTGGGTGACAGAGTGAGACTCTGTCTCAAAAAAGAAAAGAAAAGAAATATTCAGAATGGTGCCAGTTTTGTTCCTTCACTTTCTTTAACATCTGAGGAATCGGATAGAGCAGCACAAATGGGAATCTATTCCTGTTTGGTAATTGGAGGCTCTGTAGTTGACTGATAGATAGTAGCAACCTAATTGATGTTAAGATTCACATTGATTTCTTCCTCACTACTAAATGAGGATAATGATGAGACCTCCCCCTGGCCCCCATGGTGATTATTCAGTATCTGTCACAGATTTTATTTTCACAGCACCTAGGAATGAACCTGCATCAATCTTGTGTTTGAATCAGTATTTTTCTTTATCTCAGATCAGTTTCTGCCATTCCCTTAGGTTGTTTTGTATCTTGTCTTTCAAAGAGAAAAAAGTGTATAGCCTTGTTAGATGTGATTCCCTGCCCCTTCTCCCCAAGACAGTAAAATGAGCAGAGTACTCCAGGAAAAACAGGAAAATTGAAGTCAGCAACAGCAGCTTAACTATGCCATATTACCCTCTTTTTGTTGGAAATACATTTTTCTTTTTCTTTTCTTTTATTATTTGGGGCAATGTGGAGATTAACACAATTTGTGATCGCATACCTTCACATGGTCTAAATTTGTTGCGATGTACCATATTTTTGATATGGCCATCTCTCAAGGCAGCAGCATTAGAATGAATCAGTCTGAATTACACATGTGTTCATGAATCCCTTTGAAGGGTTTCAATGTTTAATTAAAAACAAAGACTAGCACTAAAGTCCTTTAAAAGCCATGTTGCCTGTTTTATAGTTTCTCTAAAATTGTGCACATCTTAAAAACGACAGTGATGCAGTCTTATTAGTAAATGTTGAGGAGAATCAGATCACATCCAGTAGCATTTACTACAAAAGAAATTATAAGGCTTGTAGTTGAGACTTTGCCTGTTCACTATATAGCTTGGAAGAAAAAGCTCAAAACTGTCCTATTAACCAACAATGTAAATCTGTCCTGCCTTGGAGAGACATGCTTACAAGTTTGGAAGTGGCGATTGAGCTTCTTTATCATAGTAAGCTTAAGAAGCTTGGATGTACCTCCAGATTTTAAGAGCTATTATGACAGTATTTGTGTGTTTGTTCAGTTCTCCGATAGATCCATTGATTTGCATCTCTAAATATAAGACTGTTCTGGCTTGAAATGCTTAGAATTCACCTGAACAGATATTAGTACAAGAATGAATTTCATCCTGAACTTGATACACTTTTGAATAAATGCTGTAGTTTAATGGTAGCACAAATATACTTAAATTTTTCCAAAAGCAATAAGGGTTTAGACAAACCATGATTGAAGTAAGGCCAATCAAGAATGTGTACTTTAGAGTGTCATTAAATAAGGAGAGTTTAAGATAGTAATAGGAGTTATAGGAAACTCTCAATGGTGCAATTGTAAATTCTAGCTTTTTGATAGGTAAAGCACTGTGAAAAAAAAAAAAGAAAGAAAAAAATGGAATCAAACTATGGTCTTTTTAAATAACAGCCATGACCTTTATTGTGAAAACTGAACTGCCTGTTCCTTATCAGTCAAAACTAAATTAAAGTGAACTAAGAGAAAGAATGTACATTAAGCTTTGCAAAATTGTGAAATTAATATTCCAGCCATGTCACCTTCACCTGCATCGGGATTGAGCAAGGGTGAGAGAGAGAGAGAAATCAATTCCACGAATTTTGGAGAATGTCCGAGTAAGGATCTGCTGAAAACTTTTGTCTCTCCATTTTCATTCATCTTGTTTGATGTTCTCATTGGTCTGGGGGCCTGGGGAGAAGTTCAGAAAAGAGAGGGAAGAAAAGAGGGGCATGAAGGGAAGTGCCTTGGAGCTCTTGTTGACCAAATGCAAACCAAAGACAAGATGGAATAAAAAGGGTTTTGCATGCCCTTGTCAAGTCTGGAAATGTGTTAGTATGTCTGTAGTAATGGAGACACCAGGAGGTTTCTCTGCAAACCTCGTGGTTCCATTCTCTCTAATTATCAAAGGAAGTCTTTTGACTGCTTTATTGAGTTGTCACTGGCATTGCCAAAAGGAGACTAACTGCAGAAATTGTTCATATGCAAGGGCTTACAAATGAAAACTGGACAAGGTTTTCTTAGCTCTATTTGATTTAGCCTCACTCAAAAAAAAGGGATATTAATATCGGAAAAATGGTTCTACCTTACTGCCGCCTAAAAACTTAATTGTAATAAAACCTGCCTGAAGTAAGGAAGGAAACCATTTCGGGGGAAGTAGTTTAGAAACTTCAATGCCTCTAAGAAGAGGTGGCCTCAGAGGACACAGAAGAGAGAAATTTCCTAATCCCATAATGTGTTTCAGTACTGAGTTATTGCCAAAGTTATATATTGGGGTAAATGGCATTTAGTTGGTAGAAGAGTAGAATTGTTAAAATGCCAAAATTGAAGTAGCAGAAGACTTTCTTTGTAACATGTCTGTGTGTTGATGTTTGTATCTGTGTTTTCTGGCTTGCTGTTGTGTCTTTAACATCCCTAGTGTCAGTGGGCATCTTCCTTTTCAACAGAAAACCTTTAAATAAATTTGCCATTTTCCCACTGATTCTCAGAAGGAAATGAAGCTTTTTTTTTTTTTTTTTTTCATGTGGACTAAATGGTGTGATAAGCCTAAATCTGTTGGCCACAACCTCCCATACCATGCTAGCTCACACCTAAATGAGCAACAGTAGGCAGAAACTTGTTACATTTGGTGTCACTGTAGGATGGGCAAATGTTCCTGTGTTAAATGATGCTGAGAAAAATAGGTCTGGGCTGGAAGTCTCTGCAGAGGCCCTTTCGTTGTTCCCAGAAAGGCCACACACTCAGCAGACCTAAAACAGACTCTGCCAGGAACCCAGTGCTGGCTGGACAGCACCAGTGGTCTATTTCGGTAATAATCCTCCTGCTTGAGGGAACCAAAGACGGAGACACAACTTGATTTAATTTGTTGTTTCATTGAGGCTATTACAGCAAATATCCTTTAGCCAGCTACTCGAACAGAAAGAAAATATTGTTACCTTAGCGTGCTCAAGAAAATATTACTCTCAAATTGTGTTTATGGGAGTCCTGTGCTGTAGCTTAGCTCCATGTTCCCGGTGTTTTGCAGCTTAGCCTCAGCAATTATAATAAAAGCAGTGGATAGAAAGCACCCATTTACAGCCCTGGCACTGAGATAGCTCAAGTAAAAAGATCAGATTCGAACTCCTCTGACTTGTACTTACTGGTCATTTGGTTTCTTGTCTGTTGGTGCATTCATTCACTATACATTTTAAGTTTGTGGGTGAATCACTAAAAAGGGACATCTCTTCACCAACCTAAAATCTAAACACCCACCTTCTTCTTCCCTATTCCGTTGTACAAAACTGGAGAAGAAAATTAAATTCTCAGGCCTGCACTTTCCTTCAGCCCCAAATCCAGTTAATTAAATAAGAAGGTATGCACTACAGCGTTTGAAAATCTCCTTTAGGATTCATTGCAACTGAGTCATATTTTTTTCTCTTTAAATAAAAGATATGTCATTTTATAGGTCATAAAACACCCTATGTATACATTAAAATATTAAGTAAGAATTAAATAGAAATAACCCTCTTTTACCTTAGTGAAGTAACAGAGTGGTATATAGAACGATTTCATGTATAGTAAGTATTTTCTTATGGAAATTACATTTCTTTTAAAAAACAAGATATTCATTTTAAAGCCCTGGACCATTACTGGGCGTTGAAAGTAAAATACCAAGTTATTGGAAAATGAATTAATACTTTTAATGCTGAAATATCATAGGCAAATTCTAGAGTAAATCAGCGATTTTGGCAATGAGATATATGATTCATTAATATAGACTTTTTGTCATCACCATTGATCTTAAGGATTTGGAGGCCTGGCTGATTTTGGTAATAGTATTGAAATCCTAATAAACTTTGTACAGTCACCCCTCAGTATCTGCCAGGAATTGGTTTCAGGACACCTGCATCCCCCACCAAGGTTGTAAAAATCCATGGATGCTTAAATCCCTAGAAAATAGCATAATATTTGTGTGGAACACACACATACACACACACACACACTCTCCTTCCTGTATTATTTGTTTGTTTGTTGTTTATGTATTTATTTATCTATTTGAGACAGCATCTCACTCTGTCACCCAGGCTGGAGTGCACTGGGGCAGTCATGGCTCACTGCAGTTTTAACCTCCCTGGCTCAAGCGATTCTCCCACCTCAGCTTCCTGAGTAGCTAGGACTATAGACACACACCACCACACCTGACCCATTTTTTATTTTTTGTAGAGACAAGGTCTCACTATGTTGCCCAGACTCAAATGCCTGGGCTCAAGCGATTCGCCGGCTTTGGCCTCCCAAAGTGCTGGGATTGCCACTGTAAGCTACCGCACCCACCTCCTCCTATATACTTTAAATCATCTCTACATTGCTTATGACATCTAATACAATGCAAATGCCATGTAAATAGTTGTGATACTGTATTAGGAATAACGACGAAAAAAAATGTCTACGTATTCATCACAGCTAAAACCATTGTAGGTCTAACAAATTTTCTATCTGTGATTGGTTGAATCTAAGGATGCAGAACCCACAGATATGGAGGGCTGACTGTATGCAGAAATACTAGAATGTTTGAGAGTAATTTTTGGCAAAAATGATCTAACAAATTATTAGCATTGCTATTCTTAATTATTTTAAGGAAGAAGAAAGTGACTTAAAGATAAATCAGAAAGTCTGTTTAAACCAAGCTGTTCTCTTTCATCCTCTAGTAGAGGAAACATCTGGTGACTTAACATGACTTCAGAATCCTTAGAGCCGGCTTCAGAGGTGGCTCTGACTTAGCCTGAGTTCTGTTCTTGGACATGGACACCTGCTTTGCGGTGTGGCACATCATACTTTTAATTTACTTAATTCCCCTTGCAAGAATACTGAGGAAAGCAGTTAATGCTGACTATTTGTAGTTAAGGATCATGGCTTGGGCGTGATTCGGAATTATCAAACAGTGATGAGTCCTTTGAAGAACTTTAGCGTTCAGTGACTATTCCCACTATTTACTTTATCCCCATGTCTTCTGTTATTTCACCTGTTCAGAGTATTTTGTTTCTTTGCCTATATTGAAAAGCTTCCATCTGATCAAGCACCACCATTCTTGTCTTGCAACTGTGTTCATCTTGGGGGTATCACTGCTTTTATCAGAAAAATAATCCATGTCTTTTTTCTCCCCTCTCTGCAGTTCCAGATTACCAGGAACAGGACATCTTCCTCTGGAGAAAAGAGACTGGATTTGGATTTAGGATTCTGGGTGGAAATGAACCAGGGGAACCTGTGAGTCTTTTGCTCGTCTCTCTCCCCGGCATATTTTTCTAAGGCTTCAAAGCAAGTTGGCAACAGTGACAAATCACCAAGATTTGTCCAGCTAGATGCAACACTGACTCTTTCATCTTGAGTAGTATGGGTTTTTCATTGGGTTTTGTGGAGCACTGTTTGTCTTGAGGAAGAAGAGACTAGATTCTTTCTAAAAAGTTTGTATGCGTGTTTGCGAAAAGTGGCAGCTGCAGCCTCTGTAGACCACCCCTTTCCCCCAAGGGAGACAAAAACAGAAAGCAAAACAGGATAATCATCACCTGATATAACAGTAGCCTGGTCCTTCTGGCCAGGTCCCTTCACTCTGCCAGCAGGTACTGGGCTTTGTGTGTTGAGTTGCTGGCGTGCAGAGAGTATTTCACAAAGCCTTATGGGACAGTGATTGGAGAATGTCAGACCCCTGCCTTTACAAAACTTGAGAAAGAACCCTGAGTAAGGGTCAAGAAACGTTGAACTTCCCTGGATCTCAGTGACCTCCAGTTTGGAATAAATTTAGAATAACATAACAGGGTTCTTTTGAAGGAAGAAAAGAAAACTAAAATAGGTATTGTTAATTTCCTTGTGATAATAACAGCCATTATTCATCGAGCGCTTACTATGTGCCAAGTTCTGTGCTAAAGGCTCTTAACATACATTCTCTCATTTATCCATCAAACCCACCAGTTTATCCCGTTTTCACATTAAGAAAAAGAAAAGCTAATTAACTTGCCCAAGATTACGGAGCTATCAAACGGAGGGACTGACAAATAAGGTCTGACTCAAATCCATGTTCTTAGCAACTATTTTGTCAAAGTTCTTTGCAAACTGTAAATGCCATGTAAGGGTAACTATAGCATTATTGTCTGCTGGAAAGGCAAGGTAGGCACAAGTATTTTAGCTAAGGTTTAGTGAATGGCAAATATAACAGTAAGACATTAACTATAAAGAATGCTCTGCTTTCAGGTGCTAAAAGACTTCAAAAATAGAGATGTCCAACTAACTTTTGCTTCATTCATTCATTTAAGAGTATTTATTACATATTCCCTATTCCTAGGCATGATGCTAGACTCTTAAATAAAAGTAATATTAAAATTTTATTAGCAGAGTTGTATGGAAAGAGAGTTTTTAGGTAGCTAGGAAAGAAGAATAGGTTGTACAATGAAGGGAGAAAAGTGATTTATATCTGCAGCGGAGAAAAAGAAAGAGTGAGTTGTCAATAGGCCACAGATAAACATCTGGAAACTAAGCAAGAAATATTCTTTGCACCATTTAATAATTGTGACAATACTTAGCACAATGTCTTGTACACAGTGGGTGCTCAATAAATGTTTGTGGCATGCCTGCAGACATGAATGAATGAATTGTTCCCAGAGATGTGAAGGCCATTGATGTCACAGTAAATGTAGGAGAGAAGTGTTTCATCCATCGTTCAATTATTCAACAGATTTATATTGGTCACATTGTACCACTGGGTGCTGCTGATACCGACGGCCGCCTGAGGTCTGGAGATGAATTAATCTGTGTGGATGGGACGCCAGTAATTGGAAAATCACACCAGCTTGTGGTCCAGCTTATGCAACAAGCTGCCAAACAAGGCCACGTCAATCTCACAGTGCGGCGTAAAGTGGTTTTTGCGGGTATGTATTTCATTCATTCGTTCAGACAGTGCGTTGTCACTTGATTCACAGAAAAGGCCTCCTTCCTGTGTCTGCCTCCTTGAGCATCTATTTTAGCAAATGTTTGCAAATGTGATCAAGCTCAGAATTTCCAGATGGCTTGCTTCTCTCAAACCCTGCAAAAATTACTGTCATTCTAAAGTACTTTAATGTGCCGTTTGCATATGTTCAACAAAGTCTTCCAGAGGAAGGCTTGTTGAATATATATTACTTCCCTTCTATCTCCTTGCAAATCAGAACTTAGCCATCCTCTTCATTTGATGATAATCCTCAACAAATGAGGTCATTATGAAAGTCAGAAGAGTTGTAGCTTCATATCAAGAGAACAAAAATTGGGTTTGTGCTACAAAATAAGCTCATAAAAAAGTTACTGATTTCTTACTGTCCTATGTATTAAACCAAGATTTTTTTTTCTTTCTACAAGAAAGTTGTAGAGCCAACCAGTTCTAGGTCAGCTTTGATTCCTTCTTCCTGCCCATAAGCTTTGAACTTTAATTCTCAAAATACTACATATCCTTTCAGGCTCAGCACAAATATAACCTTCTTCCCTCGGAAATTCCTCCTTCCTCCGACTACCTTCAGATTTTAGCATTCCCTCCTTGCCATTCTAGTGACTCATGGTTTACTTCCACATCAGAATCTGCCATTTTGAGACAGTGAATTGTGTGAGTGTCTGTCCTTTCCCTTGACCTACCAGCTTCCTGAAAGCTCACGTTGAATACACCTTGTTGTTCGCCTTTGGATGCAGCTCCCACTTTGAAACCTTTGAGACAGAACCCAGAATACAGCAGAAGTGATTGTCTTCTATCAGTTGAATTACTGGAGAAATATGACCTGAAATATTATGAATTCTTGTGGCATTAATATTAGTGAAACAGATACCTGCCAGATCAAATTAATTGGTACCTTGTTTAAAAAAAAAAAAAAAGTATAACCCATTTTAAATGGTATATGATTAATTATAGAATTAAGATGTTAAATTCCAATGTGAGAGTCCATGGAAAACAGTGTTAATCTGCTGTAGGTTATGTCCCTAGAGCTTGTTTGTGGCCTCACAATCCTTCTTAACATAGTATTCCATGCAGCTAAAAGCAGTCAGTTAGAACTGGTTTTTGAGATGAGATGAAAACTATCTGGCTTCCCTGGCCCAAATAGAAATAGTAAGGCAATGTGATATTTTGTGTTTCAGGTTTATTTTTTAAAATATTAAATATTTTGGATTTTTAGCTCTGTGTAAAAGGCGTGTCAAAACTATGAAGAGACATTATGCAAAGCGAACTAGTCACAAAAGGAGAAATATTGATTCCCTTTATATGAGGTACCTAGGGTAGTCAAATTTATAGAGACAGAAAGCAGAATGATGGTCGGTGGGGGATGGAGGAAATGGGAAGGGGAATTAGTTTTTAATGAGTACAGAGTTTCAATTTGGGAAAACGACAAAATTCTGGAGATGGATGATGATGATGGTTGTACAAAAATGTGAATGCAGTTAATACCACTCAACTATATGCTTAAAAATGGTTTAAAATTTTGTTATGCTTATTTTTCCACAATTAAAACAATCTATGAAAAGAGAAGCTTTTGAAAATAAATACAGTCTGATCCAAAACTTGGACACAACACACATTTTGTTTTGGCATAGTTGGTTCCACCTACTGTGTTGGCTGTTTAGGAGCGCTTTAGTAACACTAGCATGGTGACTAAATTCAGAAGGAGGCCAGTGTATCCGGTTCTGTGATCAGAGTAGATGTTGACACCTGGAAGCTAAGAAGAGAAGCATATGTGTCTCACAGGTGTTGTCATGAACCCCACATAGGGCAGGTAGACTCAACGTTATCGTCACCTTACTGTTCGTTGCCTGATGGAAAAAGCTGAGTGGAAATGTGATTGGAAAGTAATGACAATATGAACGTGCATCCAAGGTTGTATCTATGAAGCCAAAATGGTGGTCTTCGCGGATGTAGCCCTCACCTACGCTTAGGCCCATCCCTTTGTGCAGTGGGGAAATATTTCACAGCAGGTTGATCTTGCTGCAAACTTGATTCTGAGTGTGGATGTCGACATATAGCATGCTATAAAATAACGAACGCTATTTGCGAGTCCCATTTGGTGTTAAGTAGGATCAATGTTCGTAGATACTGAATGGTTAATATTTGTCAAGAGAAGCTGCTTTCAATCCGTATATCCAGGTTTTGTGAAACCAGGTGCTGTCTCCTCCCCTCGGTTCATGTTTTGATTTCTTGAGGGAGTTGCGGGAAGGAGGGATGGGCAGCAGGATGGAGGGGCTGCCGGACACGGTAATGTACGCGTGCATCTCTGTTACAGTACCCAAAACCGAGAACGAGGTGCCCTCGCCAGCCTCCTCTCATCACAGTAGCAACCAGCCAGCCTCGCTGACGGAAGAGAAGCGCACCCCGCAGGGCAGCCAGAATTCGCTGAACACGGTGAGCTCGGGCAGCGGCAGCACCAGCGGCATCGGCAGCGGCGGCGGCGGGGGCAGCGGCGTGGTCAGCACTGTGGTGCAGCCCTACGACGTGGAGATCCGGCGTGGGGAGAACGAGGGCTTCGGCTTCGTCATCGTGTCCTCGGTGAGCAGGCCCGAAGCAGGCACGACCTTTGGTGAGTGCTGAATGTGAAATCGCCCAGGATTTCCTACCATGCCTGGGAGTTTTTGTTCTCCTGTGAGTGAAAGCTGACCCAGACCTCATGAGCAGAAATGCTTTATGGCTTCTTTCTCTGGGTAATTAAAGACTTAATTGGGGATGGAGTTGATTTGTTAGCTTTTTCCCTTTTGAAGGTTGGGAATATTTGTTTGGCCCTTTCAACTTCCATCCTGAGAATGTGATCACGCACAGACGACTTAAAGCATACACCAGATTTGCGTGAAACTTGAATAGCAGCCGGGTGCGGTGGCTCACGCCTGTAATCCCCGCACTTTGGGAGGCCGAGGCAGGTGGCTCACTTGAGGTCAGGAGTTTGAGACCAACCTGGCCAACATGGTGAAACCCCATCTCTACTAAAAGTACAAAAATTAGCTGTGCGTGGCGGTGCATGCCTGTAATCCCAGGTACTTGGGAAGCTGAGGCAAGAGAATCGCTTGAACCTGGGAGGTGGACCTTGCAGTGAGCCCAGATCGTGCCACTGTATTCCAGCCTGGGTGACACAGCGAGACTCCATCTGAAAAAAAAAAGAAAAAGAAAAAGAAATTTGAATAGCAACCCCTGGACAGCATACAGAGTCTACAGTTTTTGCCAAAGCAAAGCTTTTGAAAGGTATTGAATAGGACAGCACTAATTGCAAGGGCCTCAGAATGGTCTTAAGAATATCTTAAGAGTTTTTACAAGGAGCATACGGCTGTAGAAATGCTCTAGGAAAAATAGAGGTATAAGGAATAAAAATACTACAGGAGATGCTAGTCCACCTCATCTGTGTTCTTTCTCTACTGTATTCCCATAGGAATTTTTAAAAAATTTTAAATAATATTTTTACTGTTGCTTGATTTAAAGTCTGGTTAAAATCTGAGTTAAGAGTCATTTGATTTTCCTGTCTCATCCAGACGTTGAGGGTTTCAGCAAAGTATGTAGAAACACAATTGTCACTTTCTCAGAAGGTTCACTTTCTGCTGGGTACACTAGCAAAGACCAAGAGAAACCCAGATGATTGCAGAAACTAGTGATATATGAATGTTTCCCATTGCGATGGATTGATTATAGATGTACACTCCAAAAATGATCCACCTTCCTGATTGAGTAAAAAGTCATTTGTTATCTCCCGAGCACGTTTGTTACTTACTATGGAATACAATGGGAGAAGGGAAAGGGCTGTGCAGGCTGTGCAGGCTTTTCATGTACCTCAGCTCTATCCCTGAATGACTTACCCACGTGGAAACTGGCTAGGACTAGCAAGGTGCTATACCCCTTTAGCATTCTCATCCAGTAGAACTCACTTGGCCTCCATTTAGTCTTGGTGTGTTGCTTCCTGCTAGAGCTGTCTCCCCGTAAGTTTTATGTTTAACAGGGGACAGTGACCCAGCCAGGTCTATGCATGTGTGGCTGCAGTAACAAATGCCCATTACTAACAGTGCTTTTTGAGCTACATTAATAAAGTCATCATAGCATGTCATGGATGGATGACCTGAAATCAAAGCAAGGTTTTTTGGTTTTGTTTTAAAATTTATTTCAGAGACTTTCCTGCTTAATATAAAAATAAAGAGAAGGAAGAGGGGAGAAAGAAATCCCAAATTATTTTCTTCAGATTTACAATTTGACTGTCTCCATGCATCCTGTGATGTTCCTAACTATTTCAGAATTGTCAGTTTCACCTTCGAGAAAGAAATAGCATATATGTCAAGTGGCAGGTTATGTGTTATATAATGAATATTGTATTCACACTCACAATTTGGTCTTTGATTGTTTTCCTTTGGCTCTTACAACAAACAAATTAAACTTTCCCTAATATCTTGCATGAGACTTCTGAGCTTTGCTGAGCTTTCCTCAGACCTGCTATTCGATACCTTTGTGATACCAATTGTCCTTGGAGATCAACTAAACTTAGTCAAGACCTTGAATTTGAGTATGGGAGCATTCCAGCACGCCTACCTGTTGTATTCTAATAGACTGTTAACTTTTAAAAATTATCTTACCTTGATGTTCCATCCTGTGATATAAGCTCAGGCAAATCTGCTGAAATTCAAAGGAATTAAAGCGCATTTTCCCACACACGTTACCCTTAAGGTCCAAATTATGACAGAAGAGCCTACTCAGTTAGTTGTAATGTCCCTCATGTTAATTTTGTCACCCTTTCCAAAAGGTAACTCAACTGCATAACTACCTTCATAGTCCCCAGAAAGACAAATTCTCAAAGTAGGTGAATATGCATAAGAACTTTGAAACTCAATACATGATTAACTAGATTAACTAGAAATCTATATCAGGCCTCAAAGCCAGCCACCTCTCTCTAGAAGTTAGCAATGACATGCAGTGCCTCAAAGTGCATGATAAACCTTTCTCTCCAAATACACTTTTCCCGGTCTTTGATATTGTGGATGTGCAGTAACTGATGATGAGAAAGGAGATGATTAAAGAAAAAGGGTGAGGAAAGATTTGAACCTAGCTTTGGATCAATGTCCTCAGCCTAAATAGGTACTAGATTTTCATAGTCCTTTGAGGGGATTTTTGTGAGGCAGGAGGATGATTTCAGAGCTAATGAACCAGTCGGGCCACACTCTGAAAGCACATAAGACTAGCTGCTTGAGCAAAGGTCCTAAAAGGAAAAATAAGCTTCAAGGTTGGGTGCTTTCTTAGCTCATCTCTTATAATTACGCCCATTTTCTAAAGCTTTCATCATTCTGGGGAGAAGGCAGAAAATCTGAGTGTTTGTTCATTAGGTGTTTTCAGATTGAATTTTTGGTGCTAGCAGACTTATGCCTCACCAGATGCCCAGTGATTATTTTTCTAAACGGAGAAGGAACAAAACATTGGCAGAAGCTTAAACAACAGCTGGCAAAAATGAAGTGACATGAACACAGAATGAGTAAAAGCATCCATCCCAGCCTTGGGTTTCACATTTGCAGTCCCAAAATAAGCCAACAGCGAGTTATTTTGGGGCTCTTAAAAATCTTTGAAGTTGCCAGCTATCCCAAATTTTGTAATTGGTTTAAGGAGGAAACCTGGGGGTTCCCCTGATTTTGAATCTGGAAAGGATGGCAGCAATCGATTCTAGTTTCAGGGCAGTAGCTCCTTACACAGACACCCTGAGTATTGCCAATGTTTTGACCATCGGTGCAGAGCTCTCCTTTAATAACATTTGCTTAATGCTTTAATTAATTAACACTTAACCTTCTCTTTCCCTTTTCAACCCTTTTTCTCTTCCCTTTGCTATATTCCCACGTAACTTTAAAAAAATTAAAACTCAATATCAAAGCAGGCAATGCATGTGTGGCTATGCCTCACAAAATAGGTCGGATTATTGAGGGGAGCCCTGCTGACCGCTGTGGCAAGCTGAAAGTAGGAGACCGGATCTTGGCAGTAAATGGATGTTCCATCACCAACAAATCCCATTCAGACATTGTGAACCTAATCAAGGAAGCAGGAAACACAGTTACCCTCCGCATCATTCCTGGGGATGGTAAAGTATACCTATTATCTCTCTCTCTCTCTCTCTCTCTCTCTCTGTCTTTTCCTTTTCTCTCTCTCTCTTTCATTAGTGTTCATGTAACTGAATAGTGTTAATTTAGTGGCAGCTTCATTCATCCTTAACTAAATATACCCATTAAGTAAATGTGAGCCATTGTTACTAACCCATTATCTCACCCTGTTATGTAATTAATCCTTTAGCCCTGTGACCCTGTCTTGCTGCAGATATAAAAGTTTCAGAAAAATCTTAACCCTTTCCTCAACTTATTTAGCTTTTTGTATCCTTGTCTTCAACACTATAAAATAGTTTTAATACAGGTAGTACAGATCCTCTGATATGTATAATATGAACTGTATAATCTGGTGACATGACAAAACCTGCATGGTAGCAATTCAGAGCCAATACTATAGTTTTTTAGAATAAGTGAATGTATCAAAGTTTTTTATTTAATGGGAGAATCTAAGAGTTTGTGTCTACTGGATTTGTCCCTAATTTTTGTATGTGAATGAAGAAAGAATGAAATCTCTATATTTTTGATAGATTATATCTGCATTAAACTAGGCCTATCCTTATTTGTTTGTTTGATTAGTTAAATTTAAATCTTTGGTTCTTTTATATAACTTCTGCCCCCCAGGGAACATTGGCATTGTATGCAGTGGGTGCAAGTAGCATCTAGTGAGGTCAGACATGCTTCAAAACATCCTACAGAACACAGAATAGCCCTCACAATAAAAAGTTACCCAGCACAAAATACCAATACTCATTGTATTATTCATGTTTAATAAAAATTAAGTTGAGACTGAGTGCGGTGTCTCACGCCTGTAATCCCAGCACTTTAGGAGGTCAAGGCGGGTGGATCACCTGAGGTCAGGAGTTTGAGACCAGCCTGGCCAACATGGTGAAACCCTGTCTCTACTAAAAATATAAAAATTAGCCTAGCATGGTGGCACATGCCTGCAGTCCCAGCTACTTGGGAGGCTGAGGCAGGAGAATCGCTTGAGCCCAGGAGGCAGAGGTTGCAGTGAGCCATGACTGCGCTGCTGTACTCCAGCCTGGGCAATAGGGCGAGTCTCATCTCAAAAAAAAAAAAAAATTTTTAAGTCGATACACTAATGTCAGGAAGTATAGATCCTTTAGAGAATTAAATCCTGAATATTCACTTTATTCTAAGCTTACTCTGCTCTGGAGAGGAAAATGACACTTGTCCCAAAATGTTTAAATGTCTTTTTTTAGTCTTGCTATACATGTTATAAAATATATATTCTAAAAGTCAGTGAGTATTTCTCAAAAAAATCTGGTTTATAAAGATAGCGTGATAAAAACTCTATGCCATGTATCTATAAAATAAGAAAATCAGACATTTCATCTGAAAGTTATTTACCAAATGAGTATTTTTATATACTAACTGCTAGAAAGTGAACTTTCTAGTTCAAGATTTGAAAGGTATAGCTGGTGCCTTAAGGAAAAGGTAAATGCAAAACCAAACAGTAAATGTTTGAAAATTGTTGGTTCCAAGAACAGAAAACTTTCTCTGCACCAAAAATATCCCACACTAAATATGGAGCAAAAAAATGGCTTCTTGAATGATGGTCTACTTCACCCTCCTTCAAATGCATGGTTAGTCATTTACCAACTGGTCTGGAGTTCATTCCACCAATTCACCACTCTGGAAAGCTATTACAATTTAGGAAAGTGGTCACAGGATGATAGAACATAGGTTCCTAATGGGAAGGATGAAGGAAGCCAGAAAATACAGTGAGAAGTGATTGAGAGAGCCAAATGTGGTCCAGACATCCCTCCTTTCATTGCGCTTCATTTTATTGCACTTTGCAGGTACTTCATTTTGTACAAATTGAAGGTTTGTGGCCACTCTGCTTCGAGCAAGTCTGTCAGTGTCATTTTTCCAACAGCAGTTGCTCACTTTGTGCCTCTGTGTCACATTTTGGTAATTCTAACAGTATTTCAAGCTTTATTAGTATTAATTATTATTATATCTGCTGTGATGACCTGTGATCAATGATCTTTGATGTTACTATTGTAATTGTTTGGGGGTGCCACAAACCATACCCACATAAGAGGACAAACAATTAATAAATGTCATGTGTGGTCTGACTGCTCCACTGACTAGCCATTCCCCATCTCTGTTCCTTTCCTCAGACCTTTTCCAAGATAAAGCAATATTGAAATTAGGACAATAAATAACTTTACAGTGGCCTCTAACTCTTCATATGAAAGGAAGAGTCACACATCTCTCACTTTAAATCAAAACCTAGAAATGATTAAGCATAGTGAGGAAGGCATGTCAAAAGCTGAGATAGGCCAAAAGCTAGATCCCTCATGCTAAACATTTATCCAGGTTGTGAATGCAAAGGAAAATTTCTTAAAGGAAATTAAAAGTGCCACTCCAGAGAACACACGGATTTTAAGAAAGTGAAACAGCCTTATTGCTGATATGGAGAAAGTGTGAGTGGTCTGGATTAAAATCAAACCAACCACAACATTCCCTTAAACCGGAGTCCAATCCAGAGCAAGTTCCTAAGTCCTCAATTCAGTAAAGGCTGAGAGAGGGGAGAAAGCTGGAGAAGATAGTTTGAAGCTAGCAGAGGTGGGTTCATGAGATTTAAAGAAATAAACCGTCACCATAACATGAAAGTATAAGGGTAAGCAGCAAGTGCAAATGTAAAAGCTGCAGCAAGTTTTCCAGATGATTTAATTATTAAGATCATAGAAGGTGGCTGCACAAAATGACAGATTTTCAGTGTAGACAAAACAGTATTCTATTAGAAGAAGATGTCATTTAAGACTTTCCTAGCTAGAGAGGAGACATCAATTCCTAGTTTCAAAGCTTCAAAGGACTGGCTGACTCTCTTGTGAGGGGCTAATGCAGCTGATGACTTTAAGTTGAAGCCAGTGCTCATTTGACTATTCTGAAAATGCTAGAACCTTTCAGAATGATGCTGAATATACTCTGCCTGTGCTCTAGAAATGGAACAACAAAGCCTGAATGACACACATCTATTGTGGTTTATTGAATATTTTAAGCCCACTACTGAGACCTACTGCTTAGGGGAAAAAAAATTTCTTTCAACATATTACTGCTCATTGACAATACACCTGGTCACCCAAGAGTTCTAATGGAAATGTACAAGGAAATGAATGTTGTTCTCATGCCTGCTAACACAACATCCATTCTATAGTTCATGGATCAAGGAGTCCTTTTGACTTTTAAGTCTTACTATTTAAGAAATGTATTTTGTAAGGCTATACTTGCCGTAGATAGTGGTGGCTCTAATGGATTTGGAAAATCCATTTGGAAAGATTTGGAAAATCTTCTGGAAAAGATTCACCCTTCTAGATGCCATTAAGAACATTTATGATTCATGGGAGAGGGTTAAAATTTGACATTAACAAGATTTTAGAAGAGGTTGACTCCAACCTTCATGGATAACTTTGAGGGGTTTGAGACTTCAGTGGAGGAAGGAACTGCAGGAGTTCTTTTGTAGTGGAAATAGCAAGAGAAGTAGAATTGGAAGTGGAGCCTGAAGATGTGACTGAATTGCCATAATCTCATGATAAAACTTGAACAGACGAGGAGTTGCTTCTTATGGATGAACAAAGAAAATGGTTTCTTGAGATGGAATCTACTGGTAAAGGTGTTGTGAACTTTGTTGAAATGACAACAAAGGGTTTCGATTATTACATAAACTTAGTTAATAAAGCAGTGGCAGAGCCTGAGAGGATTGACTCCAATTTTTTAAAAAACAGTTCTACTGAGGGTAAAATGCTATCAAACAGCAACACACTGCAGAGAAATCTTTCGTTAAAGGAAGAGCCCCGTGATGTGGCAAACTTCATTGTTGTCTTTTTTGAAGAGGTTGCCACAGCTACCCAACCTTCAGCAACCACCACCCTGATCAATCAGCAGGCATCAACATCAAGACAAGACCCTCCATCAGCAAAAAAAGATTACAACTCACTGAAGGCTCAGATAATCATTATTAGCATTTTTTAGCAATAAAGTATTTTTAAATTAAGGTATGTAATTTTTTTAAACATAATGCTATTGCACACTTAATAGACTATAGTATAGTGTAAACATAAATTTTATATGCACTGGGAAACCAAAGAATTTGTATGACTCACTTTACTGGAATACCTGCTTTTTTATTGCCATGATCTGGAACTGAACCCATGATATCTCCAAGGTATGCTTTGTGTATGAATTTAGACACATTTATTTACATGCCATGGAAAGATATCAGACAGACTAACCCAAAAGAACAGGACCCAGAGATTGACTTTCTGGGTTTATAATTGGTCAATCTTATTGTGGGAATGAGAATGTCCAAAAAAGGAAGGAAAGAAAGTACTCCCCAAGTGAAGAGCTTAGAAAAAGAGTTTGAAGTCAGTAAAAACATAAATACTTAGAAGAGACTTATTCTACAGTGTAGATAGTAGATGTTGACTTAATGAAATACACAGCTGGGTGCAGTGGCACACGCCTGTAATCCCAGCACTTTGGGAGGCTGAGGCAAGAGGATCACTTGAGCTCAGGAGTTCCAGACCAGCCTTGGCAACATTTTTAGAGTAGTAGAGACGTCGTCTCTACTGAAAATTCAAAACAATTAGCTAGGAGAGGTGGCTTGCACCCGTAGTCCAACTGTTTGGGGCAGGGGACAGGAGGCACTGAGGCAGGTGAGTGGCTGGAGCCCAGGAGGTGGAGGTCGAGCTTCAGTGAGCCCTGATCATGCCACTGCACTCCAGCCTGGATGACAGAGTAAGACCCTGTCTCAGAACAAACAAAATAAAACAAAATATCCTGGAAAAAAACTTTTAAGCCTGAACACCAAAAATTATCATGCAGGGTGGATTATCCAATAACATTGGCAATATAAAGGCAATTTTAAAATTTAAATACATAGGAAATATAAAATTCACATAGATATCTTGTGCTACCTTGGTTAGAAACAAGTAAACATAAAACTGGTACA